TCAAAAATGTTTCGCAAATCGAGCTTCATTTTAATCTTTTGCATCCTGGTGCAGTCGACGACTGGCTCTAGCAAAAGCAAAGCTAAATATACCCGCTTGAAAACGGCGTTTGGTGGTAAAACAATGCGGCGAGCTGATCAAACGTTTAACATCCACAACTCGTGCTGCGGGAAGATTGAACGAAAATTATTGACTGATATCAAAGCCAAACTCGACTCTTTGTCTGACAAAGGTGAATTGTCCTTAGTCCATAAGCGGTTCAAATTTTGGTCTGGCGTTAAATTAATCTCGTTCCTAGCTTTGATTACATCTTCGTAACTTTTAACTTCACGTTGTTTTCATCAGGTTCAGTTACCAGGACTGCTTGTCCACAAGGCTGGGTTCTTCATGGAAAGTCATGTTTCCTCATCATCAACATTCCAACACTGAAGTGGAGCGACGCTAGGAGAACTTGCCAGAATCTGGGAGGAGACCTCGCCATAATCAGGTCAGCTGAGGAAAATAACTTTATCTTTGACCTGGTGAAGAAGCAGAAGACANAGAACTTGCCAGAATCTGGGAGGAGACCTCGCCATAATCAGGTCAGCTGAGGAAAATAACTTTATCTTTGACCTGGTGAAGAAGCAGAAGACAATCACAGATTGGGGCGTGTGGCTTGGTATCACCCGAAAATCCAACAAAAAGATGTATTGGATTGACGACTCTCCACTGACGGGCCACTATTCTGCTTGGGGAAGTGGGGAACCGGGTAGTCCGAATAGCGAGTACTGTAGCAACATGTTTGGCGCGGGAAGCAGACAGGGAAAGTGGAATGACATAGGGTGCTCCCTGAAAGAAGCCCAACTTAAGTACGCCCCAAGTATTCTCTGCCAGAAAAAATCCGACTGAACTAACGTTGGTGCTATTTTCTTTATTTTTACCATGGAAATATATTAATGATCAAACTTGGCTAGAGTAAAAGGTATTTGGCTTATAGTACCCTTGGTATTGTAGAGCAAGTCATTCCCTTGATTCCCGATAATGTTGTCTTTTTTAATCTTAACTGCTGTGGAAGCGAGGTAAAATTACAATAAAAGTGGTGTATGGTTGCAAATTGTCAAACTTATGATTTCTGCCTTTCACATTCCTGACCCGAAATTCTTGAACAAATTTGCAATTGATTTCGAAGATCACAAAACTATTCGGCAGAATTAGAACAACCCTTGGAACGATGAAAATCTATATCCCCAGTAAGTAGGTTTGGAGAATAAATAATATAATGATTTGAAGTATATATGAAATAATTCATATTTGAACTGCGGTTGTAAATGAAAGTGAAGAATGATCATCGCAGTAAATTTTCCAATTTAAGCAATTGGAAAGAAGAAGCCTGAAAACATCAGGGCTTCAACGGAATTCGAACCCGTGACCTCCGCGACCGCAGTTCAACATGAACTCAATTAATTGACATCGCTCCCAATGTGTGGCTTCATAGCTCAGTTGGTAGTGCATCGCAACGGTATTCGCGGAGGTCACGGGTTCGAATTCCGTTGAAGCCCTGATTTTTTCAGGCTTCTTCTTTCCAATTGCTTAAATTGGAAAATTTACTGCGATGATCATTCTTCACTTTCAAATAATATAATATAAATAATAATATCATTACAGCCACACATAACAGCACAATTATGGAAAGGATAGTTCTTCCAGCATAGTCTTGGTCTTTACGCTGCGATTTAAAGATCCTGCAGACTGAAATGGAGAAATGTACTTCTCGATTCCTTAAGATGGAAACTGCGGCAAAACGTAGGGATTTTATTGTCGTGAACTTTACTGCCGATTGCTGGAGTTCACGAATGACCAAGTTTCACACTCAAGCAATGCAAAATTGCACCGAAAAACTCTTGTTCACTTTGTGGGCAAAATTACAGTAATGACTACTGTCATATTTGGCAGAATAATTTTACTAATGTATTAAAATGAACAAAGGGAAAGGGTCATGAGCTGGTTTCGACTTCAGGGCGTGAGATCAAATTTTCAAATTTGGACCTTTGTGTGTATCAGGTCAGTGGCGCCCTCTGAGTAAGAGACGTCTGAGATGAGCACCCCTTTCTACCGTTTCCATGACAGCCCTAGCCTCCTAAGTGTCTTAAAAAATACCAAAATTTGGGGTTTGTACCAGTTAGTGCTTTCTTCTGTAAGAGATTTCCACTAAGAAGTTATTCTCTCTTTCATCAGTCTTGGAAATGCCCTACGCTTTACAGCCCTCAAATGACTCTTAAATGAGAATAAAACTTGTCTGCGCTAAAAACGGCAAAAGAAATGTCACGATCTAACTTTTCTTTGAACCGTTCTACGCACTAATTATTTGCTGAGATGCGACATATCTAGACATATCTTAGAAACATTTATAGCCCTATCAGGATTGGTATCATACATTCTCTAACAAAAAGGGGATCCTGAGCACTTCCCTTACAGCCTGTAGCTGAGTCCCCATTAACAACTATCTTACACATAAAGGATTGATGGAAATTTCAACAGCTAGCTAAAATGGTTTAAATTGGTTTAAACTTGGCTCCAGGAATTTATAAAAGCAAACAAACCTATAAACAAGGAAACAAAACTGGCAAAGTGTGCAACAGCGCAAGAAACGTCACATGATACATCAGGTGATCGACAAGAGAAATCGTAAAGTGTCTCGTGTGTTTAGTGAAATGACAGTACGATATACACAGCGAAAAGAAGTAGTCGATGCCTTGATCTCAAGGGAAAAATCAGTCAGTTTATAGTCCTCAGAGAATCTTAACAAGTTTTGTTGAAAGCCGCTGCCTGGAAGGTTGACATTGAAGTTGAAATTACAATTTCTTGCGGACGGGTAAAACTTTTGAAGGGACTTGCGGAGTTGCTCTGCCGACATTGCTTCAAAAGTAGTTGTAAGTGCTTCCTGCATTTGAAACCATTCTGTGAAATATTTTACAGAATTCCATTGTCGACATTGTTTTAATTTCGCTACCTCGAAACAATAACAAATCTTGTGTCGGTTTAGGCGATAACTTCACGGCTAAAAATAATAAAACCGCACTTGTAGAAACCACCAAGCCGAATTTTATAGCCTTCTTGGTGTTCTCAGGGACAGCTGCCTCGTTTACCGCTAGAATTTCTCTTCTGTCACGGTAGCAAACCGGGAAGCCATTTTGCTTACGACCTTCGCGCCCTAGCTCGGAAAAGCAAACACTATACCGAGTTTGGGTAACCAATCAGAATGCGCGAAAAGTACTATCCACTGGTTTGGCATATACTAATTGACTTAACCGATGCATCCGTTATGCTTTAAGTTGTTTAGTGCGGGAAAAATAAAGCGATTTAAAATGACTCAAGTCTTTTTAACGATTTATTGTTATTTATAGTACATTAATAGCGCTAATCCACTGCACTCAGACATACATAAAGCAATAGTACTCGCGATAACTTTTTCACTGTCAAAACAGGAAAACAGACGGGGTTTTCGCTTTCAACTTAGCCGTGCCGTTTTGGTCCGTTTTTTTAACCGTAAAATTGTTCACACGGAAATGTTTCCGTTTATAAATTAACGCCTAACAAAGCGGGGAAAACACTGCTACGGTTCAGTCCCACTTCAAATCACGAGATTTTCGTGTCCAATTGTTATTTGGTTAAAAACCGAAAATCGAAATAGTTTTTTTTTATTTATTTAATATATTTTTTTATTTGTTCACATACAGAATAACATACAAAATAACCGTAGAGGAAAAAAGCTACATAATTAC